ATCATTAAAGAATAATGTTAGTAAGAATGACAAATATGCTATTGATACAAAATTTATTTTAGTAAAATGATTTCAAATTTTTTTAAAGGGACGAAAGTAAGAACCGTAAAATATCCACTTTTATGCGCCACTGTTAAAAGATAATGATGATTTCGAAGTATATATTCTCAATGCAAATTTTCTTTAAGAAACTTTTTCCAATTAAAATAGCATAATTTTCTGCTTCAATATCATCCCTAAAGTAGAGTAATAAGAATTATTTTATGGGGCAAGATAATTGAGTACAGTAATCCTCGTTTTGTATATGCAACTATTAAAGAATTGTGATGCAAATGATGAAGTATAAGTTTTCGATGCAAAATTTAGTTTAAGAAAGCAGAGGTTTGAGCCTTGAAATACCTCCTCGTATGTTTTATAATTAACGGATTGTGTTGATAATATTGACGTTTAAATTCTCGATGTGAAATTTACTTCCCCAAACTTTTGCAGAAGTAAATAACACAATATTCCATTATATCTAAAGTAAAATGATTCAAAACATTTTAGGGGTAGGAAGTTTGAACAGTACAATACTCCCCTATTATACGCCACTGTTAGAAGATTATGTTGAATAATGCTGAAGAATAAGTTATCAATGAAAATTTTACTTTAGGAAAGTGGAAGTTCGATCCTCAAATAACCCCTTAATTCTCAATGAAAAATTTACTTTACGGAATTGAAAGTTCGATCCTCAATATATCCCCTTGTATTCGCCACTGTTAAAGGATTATGGTGGTAATGTTGAAGTATAAGTTCACAATGCAAAATATACTTTAGAGGAGAAGAAGTTCAATACTCAAAAGAACCCCTTGAGTACGCCACTGTTGAAGAGTTATGGTGATAATGTTGAAGTATAAATTCTGGATGTAAAATTTACTATAGAGGAGAAGAAGTTGAAGAGTTATGGTGATAATGTTGAAGTATAAATTCTAGATGCAAAATATACTTCATTTTCTGTTTCAGTTCGCTGAATATTGTATTAATGTGTCGACTACTTTTACTATGAGCAAAATTATGACTGAAGGACGAACGATTACAGGCATAGCATTTATGAATACGAAAAATATTAAAAATATTTTATTAACTGTAGAAAATTACGAATTTCTGTAATCAGTCGATTATGGTTTAGCTTCGTTAATCACGTCTCATTTTCCGCCTGATCATAAACATTAAAGCGAATCAAAACTAAATTCGATTTTAAGCGCAGTAAACTTAATGATTCGTTTTCGTTTCATGATTTGTTTTTGTTGTGTGTTAATAGTGCCTTGTATAATTTAGCCATTTTAATAAAACTAAAGAAACAACTCTACCGATTAAAAATGCATTAAGAACATTTAACAAAACCATTTTCTGCCATAATCACGCGCAAATCAAAAAGTAAATTAAATTCCGCTCCTCGTGACAGCAGCAACAAAAAAAAACTGAAACTTGTCAAAATGCATTTAAATGCCCTGCTCAGGTGTCTCTTTTTTCGATTTTTCCAAGCTAAGCAAACTAGAGTCATAGTGGTGAATATTAGTGAAACGAGTCAACTGAATCCATCGTGTCCAAACAGATTGCAAACGGTATGCGAAGTAGTGCAGTGAAGTGGAGTGGAGTGAATGCAAATGATCGTGCATGAAATATTTTAATCTAGTCGATGCACTAAAATGCATCCATCAAAACGTATTTAGAACCTAATAAATACGGAAGCGTATACGGTTCAATGGCAAAAGTAACCACACCATTGCACTAACCATTGCACATCACTCTATATTCGTACTATGAAGCGTAGTATGAAGCCTATAGATGAAGATGAGCATTGCTCAACTGAGTTGGAGAGATGACGTTGAATATGAGAATGAAGATGCGCAAGATAATGATGATGACAGCAACGACGACTATGAAGACGACAACAAAGCTGTTGATGATTGCTACATATGCAATTACAATAAAAAACAACATCAATAGGTAATAACGACTGCAACTGCAGCAACTGCAGCAATAATATTAACAATGGGAAGACCAACTGCAACAGGTTACACGTATATATTTTAATTTATTTTAGTTTTTTACATATTACAAATGCAATTTAGCAAGAACATGACTAAAATAGGCAAGAGCTTAAGGAACAACAACAGCAACAACAACAGCAACAGCAATGGCAACAGCATTGGCAACAACAACAACAATTGCAGCTGGCAGCGCGGCTAAAACAAATGCATAAATGCCGCATGTAAAAAAAGTGTACATCCATTAGTTGTGCTAATGATGAACAGTCTCATCCACCCAAACTGCGCACGCCTGTTCCATTGACCATTGCCAAAGTCTTTAGTACGTCACTCTGTGCAGGCAAGGCAATTACCATAACCCAAACGACAGCTAGGGCAATCGTGATAATAGCTTCTGTAAGAGTTCGCTTTCGTTAGTATGAGTATGAGTGTTCGCTTTCGCGACCGCGTCTGCGTCCGCGTCCGCGTACAAAGTGAAGTAAAAACCTTCTTGACTGCACTCGCTGATGCAGTCAAGAAATGGCAGCGAATGCAGCTTG